TGAATGTGACACACCAGTAAAAAAAGAAAACAGAAAGGCACGCTCATTTGCTGCAGAGCTGTGTACATGGCTCTGGTTTACTGAAAATGGGAAAGGAGTCTATTGCTTATTTTTATCAGGTTTTCCTGTCTTTTTTTAAAACCTGCATACATGCGCTAATTTTGGTAAGGAAAAAGGTATTAGTATTGTTTATTTCAATATGATATTTCCTCATCTACAATAGATAGAAAGGGGATTCGTTCTGTATCGGGGCATCAAAAGTGATTTTAGATTGTTCTATGGAAGGTTTTGTTTGGCTGCTTGTGTTTGGACCTTCTACACTGTTACACTTTTGTTGAAAGGAGGATGTTGTGCAAACCCATGCTCATTTTTAAACTAGGTTAGGGTTAGGTATCAACAAAAGTATCGACAAAATTGTGTCTGTAGCATCAAAAGTGGTGAAATATTCAGGTTATCTAAATTGATGTGTATTATATTTAGGCAAAGTTCTTGTATGGCTGTTTGTGTGGATAACATTAAACTCTGATTAATTTACAATTGTAGAAGGTTGGTATTATTTAATTTGGGCTGCAACTAATGATATTTGCATTATACTGAATGTGGTGGTGAAGAGGGAGCTGAGCCAGAAGGCAAAGCTTTTGATTTACTGGTCCATCTATGTCCCTTCACCCATGGTCATGAGCTCTGGGTGGTGACCGAAAGAATGAAATCGCAAATACAAGCAGCTGAAATTATTTTCTTCCGTGTGGTGGCTGGGCTCAGCCTTAGAGATAGAGTAAGGAGCTCGGACATCCAGAGGGAGCTCGGAGTAGAGCCGCTGCTTCTTCGCATCGAAAGGGGTCAGTTTTAGGTGGTTCGGGCCAGTTGAGGTGCTTCCTGGGCGCCTCCCGTTAAAGGTGTTCCGGGCACGTCCCACTAGTAAGAGGCCCCAGGGTAGACTCAGAACACGCTGGATTGTAGGATTATCTGGCCTGGGAATGCCTTGGGGTCCCCCAGGAGGAGCTGGAAAGCATCACTACGGAGAGGGATGTCTGGGGTGCTTTGCTTGACCTGCTGCCCTTGTGCCCCGGAGAAGCGGATGAAAATGGATGGATGTATATATAAGATGTTAGAAAATGGTAAAAAACAATATCTATCACAATTTCCTAGCGCTCAAGTTGACATATTGTTTGTTTTGTTTGACCAACAGTGCGAAAGATGTTCAGTTTACTATCAAGGACGACCAAGAAAAGCAGCAAATATGTAACTTTAAAAAGCTGGAAGAAGAGATTCTGGCTTATTTCCCTCAATTAACAATTAATCTGTTAGATTGTTGCTGATTAAAAAGCAGATTTTGTAGAAAAACATATTTAGAGTCCTCTAATATTTCATTTAACAATATATTATTAACATATTGGAGAAGAATATTGTCATAACAGTCGTGTCTAGACTAATGTGTATTTATCTGTAGAAAGCCTAAAAATGATACAGTATTTTACTTTGTCAGTATCACTCAGCTGTAATCTCAGTCTAATCACTTGCTGCTTTAGTCTCTCAGTCATTTTGTTAACCATGCACTTGGTTAATGGGGCCCTCTATTGATTAAAAGGCATTTACCACAAATCTGTAGTATTCTAAATTTGAGTCCAGCCTCGGTCTGTCTCTCGCGCCATTCGTCTAAATAAAACGTCTCTCATTTGTTGTACTAATTTTACAAGACTAGCTGTTACTTATTCTTAAAGATCTGATGTCTCCTTCTGGTTCAGAGCTCTTCATTTAGCCTGTCTGCCTCGGTAGGACGTACTTACGCCGGGCAGTGCTCCAGATAAGGGGAAGAGTGTGTAAACATCATATAAGTGATGTGGTGTTAGTGCTGTGTTCAGCAATGTGATCCATATCTACAAAATGTGTCTGCTCACAGCTGTATAGGATATATATATATATTTATATATAGACCACCACTGACTGATCTGCCACGCCGATGCTGCTGCAGTGCTTTATGTAAGCTCAGTGAAGTACACCATCAGCACTATTATCTGGTCTCATGCTGCCAAGCTTATGGCTGAATAATATTAAGAATGGATAGTTTTTTTTCGCCTCTTCTCCACCTCTCTCTCCCTCATTAATGTGCTCAGCAGCCCCTTGATGCCCTCTCTGTTTACCCTCTCTAGAAGTTTACCCTCTTGGCGCCACCACCCTCCTCTCCACTTTGCTTCTTTTTCTCTTATAGCTAAACCTTTTTTTTTAACTCCTCCTCAATCTCTTCTTTAACTTTTTGTAAGCTCTGCCCTTCTGTTTCAACTCCTCTTCCCCCTCCTTCTCTCTTTCTCTTCTTTTATTGCCCCGTTAATGCCCTCTCTCCAACATTTTATTTCCTTTCTTCTCTTCCCTACGGCTCCCCTTCCCTCCTCTACATCTTCTTTCCTCTGTGTGCTTCTACACAACATTCCTTTTAGCCACGCTAGCTTTCGAGATTTTATTATTGTTCTGTTGGTCTTTCTGTTTACCACTTTGGTCCAGGCTGAAATATCTCAACATCTGTGTGGATGGATTAATGTTTAGTTTTGGTACAGATAACTGTGGTGCCCAGAGAATGAATCCCTTTCTCCCCTGACTTTTCCTTTAGCGTTAACAGCAGGTCATGGTTTCACTTATCCTGTGCAATATCTCAACATCTATAAGATGGATTGGCACAAATGTTTACACAGACATTCATGGTTCTCAGACAATAAATGCTACTGAGTTTGGTAGTCCCCGGACTTTTCCTCCAGGGCAGCAAGAGGCAGCCGTTTGTGGTTTTGAGTAAAATGTCTTTGTCAGCTGTTGGATGGATTGCCATGAAATCTGGTACTGACATACACTGCTCAGGATGAGTCAATATAGCTTTTGTCATCTGTTGACTTTTCACCTCACAACATCATCAAGGTCTGGTTTCACAAAGCGAGACTTTTGACTATGGTTTTGATCAAAGTAATTAGCAAGCTTGTGCACCCTGGTGTCCTTGCCTTTGGGAGAATATTCATCAGGAAGAGAGTGGTCGAAAGCTCCACGGACGGACAAAGTAGTGGCTTCAGCAACTGGAATTCAGCCGGCTCAAACCCCAGCTCCTGGCCTCACAGCAGACTGGGCCTAATCTGTGTAACAGCAGCAACAGAAAGTTTGCTGATTCAGCAGGGAGTTTACACCGGGCTGGGTGAATTTGAGTTGCTATTCAAGCAGCTGAAGGTCCATGTTCTTGGACTGTCAACCATTTTCTGTTTTTTCGTTTTGGCTTTGTTTTTCTTGAAAAGGATATGATGTCACATAATCGATTAACACAGTAAAGGCAGCAATTTATTTCCACCTCCGCATTTGAATTATATTGAGTCGGGCATTACAAAAGTCAATTAAAATAAATGTAAGAAAAAAAATGTGATACTTGAATGAATACATTTTTTTCTCACCCCTACTAATTTGCCATGAACTCTGGGTAAATTAAGGCTTCTTTTAAACTAAAAATAATGGACTTCACTGCACTTGTATAGCACCTTTCTGGTATTCTGACCACTCAAAGTGCTTTTAAACTACTGAGTTTTCACACATTCTCACACACCGGTGGCTGAGACTACCATACAAGGTGCCACTTTCTACTCAGTAACCATTCACATGCTTTCACACACCAATGGAACAGCCATTGGGAGCATTTTGGGGTTTAGTATCTTGCTCAAGGATACTTGGACATGCAGACTGGAGGAGCCACTGGACTGAGGCGCCAGTCTTCTGATTGGTGGACGACCTGTTCTACCTCTAAGCCACAGCCGCCTCTAAAACATGGCTGACTGAACAAACACCGGTTCAGGAGGTAGAGCAGGTTTTCCATTAATCACAAGGTTGGTGGTTTAATCCACTGCTCCTCATGTCCTCATGTTGAAGTGTCATTAAGCAAGACACTGAACCCCAAGTTGCTCTGAGAGGGCAGGCCAGCACCTTGCATGGCAGCTTGGCCACCACTAGTGTATGAATGTGTGTGTGTGTGTGTGTGCGTGTGTGTGTGTGTGTGTGTGTGTGAATGAGAGGCAAATTGTGAAGTGCTTTGTCCGGTAAGGTAGAATGGCGCTATATAAATGCAGTCCCTTCCCTTCAACTCCATCAGAAAATATTACAAAGACATTTTCCTTGGGAAATTCAGCAAAGACTGTAACTGTGACAAAAGCTTCCAGACAGTAGCATGAAATCTCAAAGCAGCGCCGACCTAATGCAGAGCTGAGATGCTTAATGTAGCAGAGCTCGTATGTCTGCCAACTTTTCAGTCATCATGCTCACAACTCAAAATGACTGACAATCTCCTCGCGGCTGTATATTTCTAACGCTCTCTAGAAAGTCTTTCCTTTCTCATATTTTTACTTTATATCATTATTAAACCATAAATTATTACCCATGATTTGCTCCTTTTTTGTCATTTGGTGCTAAGGGTCAGCAGGTGTACCTGATTGTTACCATGGAAACATGGTACTCAGTTCTGAGTTAGCCATGTGAGCACAGAGCTGCTAGTGTGGCTGTGGAGTCTTAAACTTGTGTCTTCCTTGCTTTATCCATGTTAATTTTTTTGTTTGTTTCGCCTTTAACCCTGGGTGAAACAATGGTGCAGTGGTTAGCATTTTCGCCTCACAGTGCCAACTGGTTCGAGGAGACCAGCTCCTGGTTCGAACCCGGGATGGGGGAGACCTTCTGGGTGGAGTTTGCATGGTCTCCCAGTGTCAGTGTGGGTTTTCTCTGGGTACTCCGGCTTCCTCCCACAGTCCAAAGACATGCAGGTTAATTGGTGGCTCTAAATTGTAAAATATGAGTGTGAATGGTTGTCTGTCTCTGTGTGTCAGCCCTGTGATAGTCTGGTGACTTGTCCAGGGTGTAACCCACCTCTCGCCCAGTGTCAACCAGGATAGGCTCCAGCACCCCTGTGACCTCCACTAGGATAGGCGATTACGTAAACTGAATAGTTGAATGAACCTTTAACCCCTCTCTCTTCTGTTTCTTGACTCCAGGACTGGGTTTTCCTCACACGCTTCTGCTTTCTCACCGACTTTGGACGTCTGGACTTCCGGTTCCGCTATCCAAAGGTAAGACGACGTAAGACCTTTGCACACCAAGTCCAAATGTTTTTGTATGCGTTTTTTCATCCGTCACCTGATAAAAATTGTTAAGGACAAAAACATATCATGATGCATTTTATTCTTTTCAATGCAATAATTCACAATACATGACTAAGTGGAGAGACACATTTGCTCCCTTGCTTCTCTGCACTTGAGTTACCTCCCTGACTGTCGCCACTCTCTGCCAGCATCTTGCATTTGGCACTGCGGCTACCTGAAGGAACTGAGCTGTCTTTCTCTGTCTCCACGCTGTCGCTCTTTGTCTGTATCTGTGTGCTGTCCTCATCCTGTATTACATCCTCCTCCTCATCCTCATCATCCACCTGAGTATTACAATCTGACCTGTTGAAAGCGGGCTATTTGAGTTGTGAAATGAAACCGTGTGCCAAATTCCTCTCTCTTGTTGCGGATGCAGATGTGTGTCCCAAAGGTTTCCTCTCATTGTCTTCACCACCTTTTGATCAAACAACTTTCTAGGCTTTTGATGGATGCGAGAAAATGCGCAAAACTTTAATGACTGAATGAATTTTGGAGTCAATGTGAAAACATGATAGACACAGGGGGAGGTCTTATTTATTTTTAAGCGTGCAACAGTTTTGGACAAAAAATGCGGACTCAGTGTGCTAAGACCTTCACTGTACTGTAGCTGTATGTGAGACTGTTTGTGTCTGTATCTTGCATTTGTTTTACATCTTTTATTTCCAATCAGTTTTACCACATTGCTTCAGCTTGCCCACGCTTTCTTCTCTGGCAGCCCAAGTGTTTTACTCTTCTTTCTTCATCCTTTCTTTCTCTGCTTTAGTATCTATTTCTCTCTCCTTCCCTCTTTCCTTCCTCTTACCTCATCTCAACTGATGCCATCGCTCTTTCTTTCCCTTCTCCTCCTTCCTCCGGCTGTTCCTGCTTTACCCTCCTCGTCCTCTTTTTTTTCTGTCCCCTCCTCCTCCTTTCTTCTCTCACCCGCTCTATCTTTCTTTGAGTCTGTTTTGTTCTTCCGCTCTGTCTTCTTTTACCCATGCCTGGCTTTACTGTTGTAGCCTGCAGACTTTGGAAACAGTTTTTGTCGTATAAATCTCAAACCATCTCGCTGCCTCCTCTCTGATCTATGCTCCCTCTCTCCTTTGTGCAGTCTCGCTGCTGTCAGAACATATTGCTCTACTTTGATGACAGTTCTCAGTGGCCAGCTGTGTACAAGAGGCACGAAAAGGTGAGACACTGACACCCTCCTCATCATGTCTTATGACAAGCCATTATTAAAGAGAAACACACCTCCATTTACCAATTTGCATGTCAGTGTTGTAATGAAAAAGCCCTGTGACTCCAATTTTGATAATTTTCACATTTCAACTTGAACTAAAGGATCACGCCCTGCTCATGCTGCTCAGAATAAAACAAAGCTGTCTTTCTCAGCCCTTGAAGGGGTTTTCATTCACGGTCAGCGATATATTATTGATGATACATGCAGTGATCAAGGATGGTACAATCCATACTTGTGAACGCAAAGTGAGACACCAGAGACCTCTGCCCAAACTGAAGCTGCTGCACAGAAAATAATAGCAGGAAGATTTTCTGTAGATGGATTTCTGTTTTCTTGTACTTGGCCCAGCACTCAAACACATTAGCTCGTGAACTGAACAGTGATTAAAAGGGTAAAGTGCATTGTATCAACCTTGATTTGAGGATATTTACATCCATACTGCGTGAACATTTTAGGAATTACAGCCTTGTTTTTGTACTGCTGCACTGTTCAAAATTAGGGGAGCCGATGTTTACCTGTAAAACTGAAAATCAGCACTTCAGCCTTGTAGTCATTGTAATATTTCAAATCCAATTACGCAAGTACAAAGCCAAAACAACAGAAAGTGCATCTCTTTCCACATACTTAACAGACTACACTGTATGCATTTAGAGTAATTCCTCACAAACTTATTCTCCCGTCCACGTTCCGCGCAGCGTACATTTAACACCTGGTTGACTCCATAATTTGGAGCCTTAGGTCTGAGATCTCTGGCTTTTAGAGATAGTGGAGTCATGAAATATGGGCCTCGGCTATAGGAGTAGCGTGCATGAATCCTTAATCTGTGTTGTAGTCGTCTGTATATGCCACAGTCAGCTGGTACTCTAAAGATATAACATGATATAGTATATAACGCTGACATTAAATGGCTTTCACAACCAATGAATAATGTATAATGCAACCATTTACTGTAGGCAGATGTTGGTACTGCCTGCTAACCCATTTTAAAGCTTAACCAGCTCAGTGTACGGCATCTGTTGGTTTCTGTGTTATCAAAGTAAGGTGAGCCTCTAAGTAAAAACTGTTATTAGGGTTATCAGGTGTGCTGTGCACTGTATGAGGAAGCTCATGCTAAGATGGTCTAGCACCAAATACCTTGCATTTCTATTAGGAGTGTAAGAAAAGTGCGACACACTGGAGTATAGTATAATATTTTTTGTGATACTGTATCACTTCTCAAAACCACAAAATTTTTAATTGTGTACATTCAAGTTTATTAATTTGTTTACTGAAAGAACACTGCAAAGCACCTCCTTTTTTTTGGTCAGTCAAATCAGATTTGGCTGTTCAATATGGATATTTGACTATTTCCTTTCCAGATAGAGTTTGAGAGTTTTAGTGGGGCTCTGTGGGATGTTCAGGGTGACAGAGACAATCATGTTATATAGTAAACAAGCCAAGTTAGCCCTCCGAGCTAATGACTGCTAACTATGCTAAAGACGGATTGTGAATGTGCACCATTTTTTGCCGAGACATGATATCCAACAAAAGCCAGAGAATATTTTGCATTAAGTTGCTGTGAGCTGCAAATTCGCCACTTCTAAGCAGATGGTAGAAAATAACGTTCTCTTGAAGCTTGACTGGGCAGAGCCTCTCCTGCTCCTGACAGCTGCCTCCATCTCACTCAAACTCACCCTGGGTCTGGGTCTGCAGCTGCCTGGACTGGAGAGTCTGCAGCTAAATCTGGTGACCAAAACATCCCCAGAAGTACACTGTACACTGAGTGGAAAAAAAATAGACTGCTTGATTGAGGGGTTTCCGACTGATGATTTGAATCTTCAACTTTCAAGTGCAGCCCTAATCTTTGTGACACAGGCAATTTCCTTTTCTCAGATTGCACAAAAAGTCACGCAATAATGTTGGATGTTACAGAGACTGTGACAAATACAAATACACATCACACTGATCACTTAAAAATCAATCTTTTTGATGCATATGTTGGCATGTTCTTTATATTGTGACATTTTTCCTGAAATCTGACTTTTAAAAAACTCAATATATATTACCTTGCTTAAAGTATCACACTATATTGAATTGTAAGCCCTGTCTTGTGATGCACATCATATCGCCAGATTCTTGCTGATACACAGCCCTAATTTCTAAGCCCAGGTAGTCATTTGTTGGTGTATTCTTCTTCCTGCTTTTGATACACAGATGTGTCATTATGTTGAGATATTTCCAGCACAGCTACAAACAGCCCAACATTTCTCAGCTCTCAGACAGATTTTGGTGTCAGGTTCCCAGAATCAAAAAGTACAGCCTTCATTCTGCACTCACCAATATTCAGCAGTCACACAAACAGAAATCCATCGAAGAAGGAACAAAAAAATATAAATTTTAATTCCTCTTACAGCAGCCTCGATAGACCAGAAAGCAAAGTAGCCACAATTTCAATTACATTTTGATTAAACACACCTTGTATATTCTGCACTGACAAAACAGTCTCTTATGTTTTCACTGATGCTCTGTTGTTACATAAAGGAATACCTCGCCCACAAAATGATCATTTGTATATCAATTACTCGCTTTGTGTTACATTAAAATTCAAAGAAACCCTGCTCTTTCCAAAAACCTGTATGGTGAACGAATAATCCAAAAATTCTTGATGAATAAGGGTAAACGGGGGCTGTGTTTAATGATCAGCAAACTGTGTCAAAATACAAACTCTCACACAACTCATACAGTATAATCCAAGTCTCATTTAACCAGTCGGATGCTCAGTTCTTCCCAAACACACGCAGTATCATTGAAATATTACATTATATAACACTTCCACATAGGAGTAGCGCACCGTGGAAAGCACATGCGATTGAACTCAGCTTGTGCAGTCCATTGAGTTGCTGAGGCACACTACTCATCTGTGCATGAGACTGTTCATGCAGAAGTGTTTTAAGTAATGAGGCTCTAGTGAAAATGCATGTGTTTGGCAGGTAATGAGCATACAACTGGATAAATGAGACTTGGATTATCCTCTTGAGACCAAAACTTTTGTTTCTCCTAGCTATTTGGGATCAGTAGGACCCGATAAGTATAAAAAAAATAAATATTGTCAACAATAATTAAGTCCCAATGTCCTTAAATGAGACAACAATGAAGTTCCAGTGTCCTCAAACGAGTACTTCCTAATTAACAGTGTCTTAGCTTGTTACTGTTGCTAAAATTGGTCAATTTTGTTGCCTTACCAAACTACAAACATTATTAATCATAAATAAACAAGTTTCAACCATAATATGTGATCAGGTTTTGGACCTTGTCCACTTTGGTGTGGGGATTGGCTGCAGACTGACTTGGCAGAGATGGCCGCCATCTTGTTTTTACATGGATTGGGGTGTTGTGCTCTTACTCCCGCTAGATGGCACAAAAAGTGTCCACGAATGAGGACAACAGGTCTAAGTTAAGTAGAATGAAGTTTAAGGTCAAGTAAACCAAAATGTGATGTCCTCATATGAGGACACAGGGTCTCAGGAACAGATGTTTTAATATAGTTTTGCTGCTGTTAAACATGGACCCCTTTTACTGCAATTCATCAAGAAGTTTCTTGGTTTTTGGAATATTCGTTCACCAAGGAGGCATGCGAGAAAAACAAAGTTTGCTTCATGAATTCATCATAACATGGGATGAGTAGCTGAAACACAAACATTTTGTGGTGGAGGGTTTCCTTTAATATGCATACAGCTGAATGTATATAACCCACAGCAACATGCATCAAGTTTGGGCACTTTTTCCTGAGCTTTGTTGAATAATACTTCGTGAAATCTGCAGGAAGTACAGTATAAAAAGATGAGAGACTGTGTAGATTCAACAGAAACTTCAGCTTGGGCAATGTTGAATCTTTTAAACCTTCCTATTTGAATTTAATTGTGTTGTCTTCTGTCAGAACTGCTACCAAAAGGAGGCGGTGCTGAGGCCCGAGAACAACCAGGTCATCAACCTCACAACACGCTACACCTGGTCAGGCTGTGTGGTAAGAGCGAACACACACACTCACACACACAAATATATACAGTACACACACTTGTTCTGAGCAGCAAACTGTCTTAGGAGAATATAATGCTAAAGCTAACCTCTGAGCTTTCTGATATACGTGTGCGTGAGTGTCACTTTTTTATCCCCAGAAAGTCAAACTTATTTTCATCTTTCCCATCGGGTAGTCTTTGTAATGCAAAAAAGAAAGGGAGCAGAAACATGTAAAAGAGGTAAACAAATGGAAACAGAGAGAGGCATTGACGCTAATGGCCTGTAATGTGTTTTTGTAACATTTCACTGATTCACACATTCCCACTGTTCATGATGCATCTCAGTCGAGCAGAAAGGGTCTAAAAGATCTTTCTCTCCTGTAACACCTTTTAAAAATAATATTCACTTTTTTTTTTTCAATAAGCAACACAACATGTTTGTTTATCACATTAGGAAGTGTGATTGCCAGCGTGACTCTGTTGTTGTGGTGGTTAGTGGATCTTGTTGCCACATTTCAGGCTATATTGGGGTGTGAAATATGTTTGTATCTTGATATATCAGACTCCCACTCTGAAGTGATAATTCAGAGCGTCTCTGAGGTAAAAACGCGCCACCTTTGTGGATAACAACATCCTCTGTGCACACCTCCATGCATTTCCTCTATCTCTCCCTCTCAGGTGGAAGGAGACGGGAATGAGGAGGTTCTGAGCTGTGTGGGCGGCCGTAGTTTCCGCTCGGTGAGGGAGAGATGGTGGTACATCGCTCTCAGCAAGTGTGGGGTAAGCACTGACCTCTGACTCCCCCTCTGACCCTAACGGCTCTTACTCTCTATAGGGGCAGGTGCACTACCTGGCGGTTGCCATGGCAACACACCGCCTTCATCATGCAGACAGACTCGGGGGACTCACATGCAAACATACCCGTGCAGTCATTTGTTTGTTTTCTGCTGCTCCTTTGATAAACAAATGTCAACACTGCCATCATCATCTAGCCATTAAAAATATACATCAAAAGAATATGTATAAAGGTCTGAGATATCTATACATTTATTGACATGTGGTTGTTAAATGCACCAGGAGGACCTATTTTAACAATTTAAATCACAGTTTTAAGTTTTTGCAGTCAAGCCAAACAACTCAATGAATAGATTTCAGGTGCAAGGAGCAGCAGCAGCATCAGATATTAAAATGAGAAAGCTCAGGTGAAAATATAACCAGCACACCCTGAGGAAGGCTCTGTGAAACTTTTTTGTGCTGTCTCTCGCCATAAATTTTAAATCAACTTGAGCATAATTTCTGTCCCAGTGTGTGCTTTCCCCATTTGAGCATTTTGCACCAGGCTACATTTTAAATTACAGAAATAAAGTAATCTAAGTTAAGCAGGCAGAAAACTGCAAGGAAATTTAACCCTATGATGCACAGTAATATTCAAAATAACATAGATAGATGCCATAGATAGATACCATCAATAAATAGATAGAATCCACTGATAAATGCCATAGATAGATAGATAGATAGATACATAGTTACCATAGATAGCATCAATAGATATATAGCATCCACTGATAAAAACCATTGATACATACCATAGATACAATAGATAGAAAGACACCCTAGATAGACAGATGCCATGGATGGATGGATGGATAGATACCATAGATAGATATATACCATACATACCATAGATAGAAAGATACCATAGATGGATAGAGACCATAGATAGAAAGATGGATACCATAGATTTAAAGATAGATGCCATAGATAGACAGATAGATGCTGTAGATAGGAATATAGATAGAAAGATTGATGCCATAGATTGAAAGATTGATGCCATAGACAGAAAGATAGATGCTATACATAGAACGATAGATGCCATAGATAGAGAGATAGATAGAAGGATAGATGCTATAGATAGAAAGACAGATGCCACAGAGAGATAGCTAGAAAGATAGATTCCATAGATAAAAAGATAGATAGAGAGATACATGCCATTGATAGAAAGTTAGATGGACAGATAGATGCCATAGATACAGAGATAGATAGAAGTCCAGGAAGAGGAAGGTTATTTAAGTGTGGGAGTGGCCTATTTGAATCCATTTTGTTTGAGGCCATGCGGCAAGGTGAGTGTGTTTGCTGATCCTGTAAGTTTATTTAGCTCCTTTAACTTTAGCTTATATTGGAGTTATGCTGTGTAGCGTGTGAAATAGAGTATGGTGAATGTGCTAGGAAAGGTAGTATCAGCCCTGCTTCTACCTAGAGCTCGCATGTACGGAGCCTGGGTTTGGTTGAAGGTGGCAGTGCTGTTTGGGCTGAGAAAGCCATGCGTAAGTAAGGTAAAGGAGGTTATTGGGTTGGTGCAGGGAGGGGAGCAGTGAGACCTGGCATTAGGGGAGTGTCTCTGGGACACTAGAGATCACTGTCTAGCCTCCTGGAGGTGTTGTGGGACCAATTAGACGAAACACTGGTGAAAGGAGGTTCCCACCCGATGACCCCAAAGACATGCTAGTTAACACTGCTCATTGATTTGTATAGTTAAGCCTTGCCATATTAGCTTATCATAGGGCTTAGGTTTTTCACTGAATATTGATCCTTACTCTAGAGCACAAGCTTCTTGTGTTTTATTTGAATTCAGAAAGGTAGATGATCGATAGAAAGTAAGATAGACAGATAGATGCCATAGATAGAAAGATAGATGCCATAGATAGGAATATAGATAGAAAGATTGATGCCATAGATCGAAAGATTGATGCCATAGATAGAAAGATAGATACTATACATAGAACGATAGATGCCATAGATAGAGAGATAGATAGAAGGATAGATGCTATAGATAGAAAGATAGATGCCACAGAGAGATAGCTAGAAAGATAGATTCCATAGATAAAAAGATAGATAGAGAGATACATGCCATTGATAGAAAGTTAGATGGACAGATAGATGCCATAGATAGAGATAGATAGAAAGGTAGATGATCGATAGAAAGTAAGATAGACAGATAGATGCCATAGATAGAAAGATAGATGCCATAGATACAGAGATAGATAGAAAGATAGATTCCACAGATAGATTCCACAGATAGAAAGATAGATAGAATTATAGATGCCATAGATACAGTAGAAAGATAGATGCCATAGATAGAAAGATAGATTCCATAGATAAAAGGAGAGATAGAAAGAGAGATGCCATAGATAGATAAATAGGTTCTATGGACTGGAAGATAGATTCCATGGATAAATAGATTCCAAAAATAGACAGATAGGTACCATAAAAACCTACCATAGATATATACAATAGATAAGATACCATAGATTGAAAGACTAATACCATAGATAGGTAGATTCCAAAAATAGAATGGTAGATACCATAAATACTTACCACTGATAGACTGATACTCTCATAAAGGTAATATTGAAAATGTTTGTTCTACTAATAATAATCAAACGCTGTTGTATGTTGCAGACCTTCAGACCCAATCCCAAATGTAACATACATGACAATAATAATTGCTGTCCAGAATGCCCCTCACACCCACTTGCCCTCCTCTCCTCATATGTCACAGCTGATTCTTAATCTGTGCATCTCTCTCTTTGAATTGCCTCTGGACACCATGCAGTGCGTTATCTCTCTCCCATGCCACAGTTGTACAACAAAGTGCAGAGACTCTTAATATATGACTCTCTACTTAAACTGTGCTAAACATGCCTTAACAAGGGCTCCACTGTAGTCTATTGATTAGCTAGCTTCAGGGACTTTTAAGTATTGTGTTGTTTTATAATGGGACTCAGTGTTGTGCTAATGGTGCGCCGGGAGAAAAAGAGCACAGCGTTGGCTGCGGTGTGCTGTTTGTTGTTGTGAGTCTGGACTGGGGCACTCGTTGAAGAAATCATGAGCTTGTATAATGATAGCTCTGCTCGGTGGTGATACATCCTCCTACGCAGAGGTCTTCAGTCAAGGACAAAACCCAGGAAATAGGTGTGTTGTTTTTTCAGTGTGCAACATACTCATGTTTTTTAAAGTGCGATTTCTGCTGAATGTGTTTCACTGGATGTTTGCCTGCATATCAGTGTCACACTCTGGGTTGCATCAGTGTCACGCTCCTGGTCATGAGTCTGTGAGTGTTGGAGTGTGTTAGAGAGATTTTTTTTTTGGTGGGTTTGTTTTTGTGCTGTTGGTTGAAGAGGGATATGATTAAAACGGATGCTTCCCGCACAGTGTGGTTTAGTGTCACGCCAGCGTCTGCTGATAGACACACTCCCTAATGCTGTTGGACTAAAGTGTAAAAGCTCGTCTCCACTCCGGGGGACATATGCACGACGCACCCCGCAGCCAATTTCCACCCCTCGTCTCTCACTGCTCGCCTCCTCGCTTCCCTTACACTTTCACACCTCTCCGTCTTTCTTCCTTTGTCGCTCACAATCATTGGCTGCGTCCTGCTCTCTTTCAACTCTGTCACCAAGCTGTGGCGCGCTCCACACCATTTCATATCCATTTACCTCTCCGTCTCCTGCTTCTCTCCATCGGCCTATCTCTAATTGTGTTTTTCCTCTCCATCTTGCCATCTCGCTGGTCTCATTTCTCCTTCGCCTCTTGCTCATTCCATGCATTTTCCTGTGCGCCCTCACTTTTATGTGCTGCTGCTTATTTTCCTCTCTTTGTCCCTGTTGTGCTCTCATCCAGCTCTCCTTTCATGTACTTTCCATCTCAGTCTTTACCTGTGCTGAAGTGGGTCTAAATCTATATCAGCTCATAAGCCCCTCAAAACCTCAGGATGTCTACTCTCAATTCCCAGATGTAGTCTTGCCTGCGCGAAATGATAAAATGTGAGGTTGATCGTTATTTAACATTTCCAGGCAATTTCACTTGTTTAATTATAGCAGGAAACCTCAAGGCCGCAAATAATCATTATTTCATCAGGGAGAGTAAAAAAAAAAAGACAATCATTATAAATAAAATTCAGGTCATCGCAAATTACAGACCAGAGGACCTCTGGCAGTCAGTTTTTTCCGACAAGTAAATTGCCAGAGTAACCAAAGATCACTAATAATAACAAGCTTGAATGGTAGTTTTTCGTCTGCAGATATCTTTTCATGAATCATATTTATCATCTCAAAAACCTGCATCAACAACGTACGTCACACTGTACGATCCAACTCTGCTTGTGTGTGTGTGTGTAGGGGTGTACTGTACAGTTGCAAAGTTTTCTCAAGACAACACTTATTTCTATGTTATTGCCTTTCATGAAACTGTTTTGATGAGTTACAGTAATATCACTCGTTAATTAGAGCTAATTATACCATTATTGGAAATAAACAGAAGACAGAACAGCTCAATAACATGCCTTCATTGCTTGCCATCGACCCCGGCAACTGTTGTCTGAGCGTTAGGTTTATGAGGCGTTTATCCTCGCGGTTTTCAGAGAGAAGCGGAGAAATGGAAAAAACTTGAATGCCTGAAATCAGCCTTCACTTTATTATGCCGAGCAGAGCTGCTGCTAATGAAACAAAATTACCTCAGTGGGGAACCAAGGAAGCGCTGAAATTAGACTGGCCAGGTGACTCATCTTTGTAGACCAAACAATGCAGAAACACACCCACATCTACCGCAGCTCTTCCAAAATTGTAGAACTGTATGTCTCACAAAGACTTCAGACACAGTCGCATGCAGAAGACGGATCCTATCACTCTGCGCCAGATGGGGAGTCAGTTTGGACTTGAAACATTGCACTTCTTTAATGTGATAAACAAGGAACAATAACGGGAGTATTTGACAGTGTTTGGAGT